GATAAGTGGAATTAATTTGTTTTAGTTTTTTTGTTACTCTTAACAACTGGCATTTTTCTGGGTGGAAAGACATGCTCCAATTTGATTCCCATTTCTGTAATTCATCTAATTCTCTTTGTAAAATATCTGTGTCTTGTTTTGTTTTTATTGTTCTATATATTATGCAATCGTCTGCAAATAATCTGACTTTTGTTCCTGAACTAATGCAATTTGGTAAATCCTTTATGTAAATTAAAAATAGTAGTGGACCCAAGACTGTTCCTTGAGGTACACCTGAGTTTACTGTTATTGGTGTTGATTTAGAGCCATTTATTATTACAGTTTGTTCTCTCCCTATCAGAAAATCTTTAATCCACTGATGCAGTGGACCGTTAATGCCGAAATATTTTAATTTTTTAAGCAAACTATGGTGGTGAACTTTGTCAAAAGCCTTGGAAAAATCTAGTAAGATAGCATCTATTTGTTCACTATTATCTATTAGATGTGTTTAAAACTAAAACAACACGGTCTATCACCATAGCAAGATGTAAGAACTAAGCCCAGAGCGTTAAATACTTGAATAAAGTTTAATGCATAAAGACCACAGTCGTAATACGATGTTGTCACCTTGGGTTCGTAAGACCAACTGAAGAATATTAAACAAGTTAGCCCCACTAAGCGTGACGACACAAAATGTCAAAGTCTGTCAACTATGGTGCGTTTTTATGCTATTGCCTAACAGTAGAAGTATATCTCTCATCTCATCTGTCCCTTGACGCGGCGTAGGGTTGCTGTGACTTTTTGTGTAACCCTCCACTATTTCCGGTCAACAGCTGGTCTTAGCGGGATGTCGAGAGATAGGCCAGTCCATTCTGCTATCCAGTCAGCTTTTATTTTATAAACGGAAAGGCGATGACCAATCACGTTTATGAGACTAATTGTCATTCAAAGAGGCCCATTAGGTAACCTCACCGGCCCATTGGGTACCGGACCACAAGGCATTTGACCGAATTCCCAAATAGTCAATCCTCCAATGATGGCGCGCGTGCGTGTTTTTTTTTTTTATATTGTGTATAAGTAAGTAAATTGGGCAAGTGTGGGTATTTTTTTTTTAACTTATCCACTAACTACATCCAAAACATTTGTGGATATAATAAATTAAAAATATTTTTAATACCTGATGGATATTACTAGCACTTTCAGCCCTCAGCACACCCCGCCCTTTTCTATTAATTTAAAATAATCATTTCCATAGCTAGAGATCCCAGCTAATATAGTGGTATAACACTTTACGGTACAGCAGACATGTCCTCTCACGGTATACATGAATAAAATATCAATGATTCATGACACACTACGTTCCACGATAACAAAATACTGTAGACATTAAGTAGTTGCAAGTTCGCTCCAACACTCTTGTGGCTCCTCAAGAGTATTAAGAATGTGTACATGATGATTATTACGTGCTAGGCAGGACGTCCTGCAGGACTTCAATGTATGGCGCTGCACAGGAGTCGACTTTGGCCCCCATCATGACGTCAGACCGAATCACAAAAGACAATGACCAGGCAGCCATGTTTTTGTATTACCTTGTTACACTGCACATTATTTTCGATTACTGCACCCATAGGAGGTGAATCATTAAAGCATTTATAGCTTACCTTTGCACAAGTAGGGTCCTATTTAGGACAATGTATCCCATAGAGTACAGGAGAGAATACCTCTAATAATAGATCTATAGGATTCATTTTTTTCTATCCGTAATAGTTCTAATAGTGACTTTCGATTCTCTTCTCGTGTTGCATTTGTTTGTAATATCGGAAATTACCGATTCTTCGAAATTTCAACGGGGGAGAAAAAAAAAATGTAATGACTTGGCAGAATTCAAGATAGTATCAATTTTTTTTTTTTTAGATTTTTAAAATATATGTATTAATTATCAACCAAAATTATGCGAACGTGTTTATACAAAGAATATGTCGACATACGGTCTTAATTTATTGCATGTAGACCAGCGAACAGCACTGAGAGTACCTGAACTATTATAAGGCAATAGTCTGAGTTACATTACATCGTTGTAATAAGCATTCCAGTAAGGTTACAAAATAAAGTTTACTGCTGGGTCAGTACCTTCACGTGAGATATCGTTAGCGTATTAGCTAGCCCCGACCAGGATACGAACCACAGACCTTTGCCTCGGAGACAACACAAAGTGGCGACTCAGGTTTCAATAGACCAGTGCTTCTCAAACTTTGTAAACAAGTACCACTGTACAACTGAAGAATAAACTGAGGTAACACTGTCAACGCTTCAGTAATTTTTGCATGTGTGTACTTCTGAAGTTAAAAAAAAGTAATTATATTCATTGTAATGAAGAGCTAATCAAACTTTAATCGCTGGAGAATTTATCAAAATGTATAAATGTCAGACGATAGTGTGGGGCTATATAAATAAATGACATAAAATGTTCAGTCACGTAAATAATTTGAACAGGCTAACTTTGTTCATACACAAAGTTCATTATCTCTTGTAGAAGTCCATTTACTCTTACTCTCTTAAGTTGCTTCTCTACCAGGGGTTGCTAACCTGACTCAAGTTCTATTAGGTTTTCAAAAATGTTGACATTGTCATCATTTTTTTTTACTAATAACAAAAAGCTTAGAAAGGTTACATAAAAAATGTCCAAGGCTCGCTAAAACAAAGCGCATACATATTCATAGCTATAGTACAATGTAAGGAACTACTTAAACAAAAGTTGTTGGTTTTTTTTTGTTGTTTTTGTTTTATGGTATGATTAGTTTTATAAACATTTCGGTCAAGTTGGAAGTCGTAATAGCTAGTAAATTAAATCTCTGTGGAACTTTTTTTTTCTAAATATTTGGTTATTATTATTTATTTTTTTGCTTTTTTTTTTTTAGAATGAAGTGTGCCACCTGTAATTGTGCAATGCGCCACTTTTGGCGGTTGGGTCATAGGTTGGCTACCCTTGTTTTATACCATCAGCCCATGGATCCATGGAGAATGTGGTCTTACAAATGCAAACAGTTCCTTCTTTAAACAGATTCTTCTTTATGTGTCATCTTCCCGTAGATTCGTCAAGCCGAAACTTACTAAAGCCGTAATCGCTGTAAAACCGAGTTTCCTATTTATTTACTTACTTCACTTCAGAATTCTGAATCTGATTTTTTCTTCGAATATTTCTTGGATAAGCTGATTATCTGTCACCTGGAAATATGGTCACTAATAATAGATTCCATATAGATGTAATTCTGCGGTTTTCTAAGTCGCTTTTTGCTCTTTTACGCCATTAAGCACCGTCGCTTTTTTATTCTGGTACTTGACACTTTCCCACAGACGAGCATATCCCTCACGAAGGGATTGCACGCGTTACTAATGTTAAGACTGCTAACCCAGTTTAGTTAAGACAAACTAAAAAATAGGACTGATCAAATAAAGACCAGGCGAAAGGGGTTAAACTAGTATGCGACGTATTTTCATTAACTTTGTCTCCGACTCAGAAACCTCATTAGTAATGAACCATACTGAGAATTACTCCCCTAGAGCACCTGACAGGAAGCGGGCAGTGGGTTTGAAGGTCGCTTTGTCCCCGTTCTCTCTCTCTTTCAAATCTTTGTCCAGATCGTTCTGTCATGCAGAAGGCGACAGGCGTGGCAGAATGGGGTCTGTTGTTTCTACGTCCTCGACGCAGTGGCGGCACCGCGTGTCGTAATTCTTCCTGAACCGTCCGCAATAAGCACCTATTGGATAGTGTCCGAGTCGGAACTGAGATAGGATGGCCTGTTCCGCATGATTAAGTTGCCACCACACATCCTTTCGGTCTGGTCTATTCAGATGCCTATAGAGCTCTCGGCCTTACTCGGAAGAATCCCAACTGTCGTACCAAAGTGCTAACAATCGGGTGTCGGCCAGGGATCGTACACTTTCGGTAAGTGCACGGTTCATCATGTAGGGTTTCAATTGATAAAATTTCATAAAATGTCAACCCTCTCGTAACTGACCAACTAGCGTTGAAAATTTAAAGAAAATAAAAAGTTTAATTATTCCTTTATATCTAGAGTGATAAACAAAAATTAAACTAAATTATAGCTTTTATATAGCGCTACATTCATGCTTATTGCATGCTCAGAGCGCTGTGAACCTCTGTGAATCTCTTTTGTGGACCAGTGTGGGAGTAGGGAGTATCTCGGAGAAGATTTTCTGTACTGCCTTTAGGCGCTAAATAAACACAACTCTGCTCGAGTCGGGTGTCGAACCTCCAGCCCCCTTTATAGTTAGCAAAGCAAAGTTCAATCGTACTTTGCCTTTCGACCACGCTTCACACAGATAATCCTCGTAATTTACAAGACGAAGAACATAACAATCGATTGGTATACAATCTAGGGCCATATCAGTAGGTCCACCACTTCAATAGAGGACCATACAAGTTGGTCCACCACTTCAATATAGGGCCATATCAGTAGGTCCACCACTTCAATAGAGGACCATACAAGTTGGTCCACCACTTCAATATAGGGCCATATCAGTAGGTCCACCACTTCAATAGAGGACCATACAAGTTGGTCCACCACTTCAATATAGGGCCATATCAGTAGGTCCACCACTTCAATAGAGGACCATACAAGTTGGTCCACCACTTCAATATAGGACCACACCAGTAGGTCCACCACTTCAATATAGGGCCATACCAGTAGGTCCACCACTTCAATACAGGACCATACCAGTAGGTCCACCACTTCAATATAGGGCCATACCAGTAGGTCCACCACTTCAATTTAGGACCATACCAGTAGGTCCACCACTTCAATACAGGACCATACCAGTAGGTCCACCACTTCAATACAGGACCATACCAGTAGGTCCACCCCTTGGACTAGCTAGCATAACCACGGCCTACTACTGTTTAAAAAGCATTGCTGTAAACAACTGAAAGGTGAAACGAGTTCCGAATCAGCCATCCAGTATTAACGACAACAGCGAAATAAAAAAAACCGAAATCTAAATCAAAGAGAAATAATCCTGTTTAATGTTAAATCAGTTCAATTATCTATTATAGTCTTTCTAAAGTAAAGAATTATACAAAAAAAAGTATTCAAAACGTTGTACTTTTTCATTGTTCTTAAATCAGATCAAAGAGATTCTTTTCAATTATAAGATACAAACTGCACTTAACGCGAAATATTGACCTTTTCAATTATACGATACAAACCGCACAACACAAAATTTTGACAATCTTATCTTATAAAATGCAGACGTTACTTTAAAAATGAAGATGATTACGTGTGTCTCTAGGTCAATCTAGTCATGCATGTTAAAGTAGAAAATATCTACGAGATGACCATAGTCGCTCGAGATGAATCATAATCCTTCGAGATGAACCATAGTCGTACGAGATTAATTATAGTCGTTCGAGATGAACCGTAGTCGTTCTACCACTAAAGGAGGCCACTGAAGGTAAATGGTTGACGCCTACCAAGACATAATGTGACAGAAGAAACATTTGGATATATATCAGCGGTTCTCAACCTTTTATGCTCGGCGACCCCTTTTTACAATTCCCCAATCTGCATCGACCCCCCACCCACCCACCCACACATACAGCAATAGAAGAATAGACACTATAAATCCATATTTTCGATGGTCTTAGGCGACCCCTGGCAAATCGTCAATCGACCCCCAAGGGGGTCGCGACCCATAGGTTGAGAACCCCTTATCTATATACATATTACAAATCTTTGGACTTGAAAATCTGAAGAATTTTTTGGAAATCTTTACCAACTAAACAACAAAACAGCCTCACTATCGCATCCTTGTCGCCTTGAAACAATTTGTTGATAATGTCGTTTGAGGATGGCTCCTGACAAGACTGTAGCAGCGTCTCCGTGAACCTGATGTGGTTCCACGGCACACGAGCAACATGTATAGCTTCTTTACTCTGCAGGATTAGAGGTATGGGCAATTCTGCTCTCAGGCTGACTAGAAGGATCTCGGGGCCTTGTACTTTATGTACTGCCTGGAGCATAGAGTTGTAGTCACTGGAGAAACACATGGACACATGTAGACTAGTCACAGACTAGACACACGTAGACTAGACTAATCTAGACAATACTAATGTATAGTAAATACATTTAGACTAGACACATTTAAACTAGACACAATTAGGCTACACATATTTAAACTAGACACATTTATACTACACATATTTATACTAGATACTTATAGACTAGACACGTTTAGACTAGACACCTTTAAACTAGACACTTTTAGACTAGACATTTAGACTACAAATATTTAGACTAGATACATTTAGACCAGATACATTTAGACTACACATATTTAGACTACACATAATTAGACTACATACATTTAGACTAGATACATTTAGACTACACATATTTAGACTAGACACATTAAGACTACACACATTAGAATAGACACATTTAGACTAGATACATTTACTTGGCACATTTCTCATTATGCAAGACACATGTGTGGACTTTGAAAGAATCAGATAAACTTACCTTGAGTCATTATCTCCTACAACCAACAAAACCAGGCTATAGTTGCTCATTTCTTGTAAGAGTGCTTCTTCTTGCATATGACTGTAGTCAGTACTCATCTAAAAAGAAAGTAGCTTTAGACCCATTTGGTCATGCGCATTCCATGAATATGTACATCATGTCTATCTAATGTAATGTCATAATGCTATTTAGTCTGGCCAATGATTTCATTTTGTACTTTGGTAATGTCCTAAGACTATTATGCAAGATATAAGCGATTGCTTGAATATTAAAGAATAGAAAAATGAACGTATGGAAATGCCAAGGCGAACGATTATTTGAATATTAAAGAATGGAAAAGCTGACATACAACAGAAAAGAGGTGAACGATTGTTTGAATATTAAAGAATGGAGAAATGAATATACGGCAGTGCCAAGGCGAACGAATGTTTGAATACTAAAAAAATGGAAAAGTTGACATACAACAGAAAAGAGGTGAACGATTGTTTGAATATTAAAGAATGGAAAAGACCTACTAATGCGGAGGGGAGTTTTAGAATCATGTGATGAGTAAGAAACATTTTAAGTAGAAGTCGTTTAACATTCATATTTAAATAATGAATCCCAAATGTTAATGGTGAATGTCTTTCATAATGGGATTGCTCTAGTACTATAGTCATTCAACGTGCGATTATTGTTTAATAAGGTAAACTTTGTTCTCATTTACAGTGTTATTAAATTGTTTTACCTTACATTACATTTCAAGGCTTAGCTTTGAATGTATACAGCCATAAGTGTTATATCCTAACCTCTAAATTCCTAGACGTCTCAAGTCCAAATATAACCTGAAAGATGTACAGTAAATTGCTGGCTAATTTCGTTGTAATGTCTGGACACTCTTCAGAATCAAGTGTTTCGTCGTTTACTATGAGTATGTCCCCTTTCTTAGTTAGAGTCTCTTCTTCGGCGTCACTGACCATACCAACGCACTGACCGTAGCGTAACTGAAACATCTGTTGAAATGTTCTAATGTAATCAGGGCTATCTTTAATTAAGCGAGCCCATGCTGTGGTCAAGTATGTTTCTGCCCTTATTTCTAGCATTTCGGGGTCAGACCACAATGGGTTTAGAGTAATGGCGGCGATTGTGCTTGCTAAGTTAAGTATCAGCAAAGCGTCTTCGTATTGCCCACTTTTTAAACCGCTAGTTAGTCCACTTTTCACGATATCCAAATCATCGGTTTCAGGATCTTGACGAAACGTTTGAACGACTAGCAGCACAATATCTCGATGAGCTTGGACCAACTCAAGAAGCTTAACTTTGTTCTTGTTCTTAGTGCGGGATTGTGTCATCTGTTCATTTTCATCCAACATTGTCTTAAACGATTCCCAGATCGCGGAAGTACTTTCAGCACTCTCTCTATTGTTAGAAACCAAGTCTGCCGCAAGTGTTATAGCCTTAGTGAAATTCTCATGGGCTTCGCTTAAACTATCTGGATCATTATATGTTTTCAAACATTTTCCCGCCTTATCGAGGGCGTTAACCAAACACAAGAGATAACTAGAACCTTGGTTACTATCGATGATCTGATTGTATTGCGCCAAAGCTTTATCAAATTTTTCTAATCTGAAATAGAAATCTCCTAAGTGCAATTTTGCTGGTATGTTTTCATCATAGGATATTTCAATAGCTTTGATATAACATCTTTCAGCTTCCATTAAAAAGTCCTCCTCATTGCTTGTTTGATCAATGCGAGAAGATGTATCCTGCATCATAGAGCTTGTGGTTATTGTTGAGTCAAGCAAGCTTTCGTTAGTTTGACCAGTGAGCGGCTTACTGTCAGCTGCATTTGATTCTTTCTGATGCTTGCTGTCATCCAATGGGCAAGGATTTTTTTGCAAGAGATAGTTCTCGAATTTTTTCTCATAGCTAAGTCCAAGATGGTGGCACGCAATGCTGTTTAGTCTTAGTTCTAGAGACTTTTTCAATAGATCGATTGCTTTGTCAACATCTACATCTTTCAGGCATCTCCCAACGTGTGTCAACACCGTAGGTTTCTGGTTTCCGTACTTCAATGCTTCTTCACACAAACTCTGTAAGTCATAGTCTTTGAAAACTCGATCCTGTTGCTTTGGGAATGTCATATAGCCAACAACTAACTGGGCGTAAGCCAGGCCTTTTAGTTTATCATTCCCACATTTTGCAACTTCAAATAACAGCTGAGCACTCTCTGCGATCAGTTCTTCCTTTTGCTCTTGGCTTATGGATGAGAAATTAGTGAATCTCCTGTAGACCAACCCCAATCCAAACTTCCAGTCATAATTATGAGGACAGCGATCAACACATTTCTTGAATAAGTCAATACATATCTTGTAATTTTGTTCTCCTCCCAATCTTGTGAAGCAGTAAGCTTGCTCTGCTAACGCCTCAATCTTCATATGTTCAAATCGCTCATCCTTAGAAAGTGCTAACAGTTTTTGAAAGGCAGTATTTTGTGATTTCAGCTTGTAACCTTTATTAAACAGAATAAAGACGTAATTGCCCAGAGCGGTTATGTTTTTATCTTCGGAATCTTTCAGAGCCTCTCTGTTCAGTTCCTCGGCTTTATGTTTATCGCCTAAATTGAACATGACCCACGTAAGAATATTTTTATTTCTGATTTGTTCTTCCGGAGAGCAGTCAATCTCACTTTCGACATTGTTCTTGACGTGCCTAAATCTTTCTTGTGTTACTTTATGCCCTCTGGCCAGGTTGAACGTACACGGGAATTCCTTTAAGTCTTCATTGATGTTCAATGACATCTGGAACAAAGAAAGTTTATTAATTTATTTACAATTATTTGTTGATATACAGATCTAAAATTACAATATTCAGCTGCATCGTTGCAAAAAACAACAACAAGGTTACAAAGACAGTTTGTGTAGATACACAAACTTAAAATCGGCCCCCGAAGTGGTCCACCTAGAGACATACGGACAGATCTAGACATTGGTAGAGGATAGAACATATTAGGCTGTACAAGAATATACGTTAAAAATAATTATTAAAAAATGCATATCTATTTTACAGGATGTGACTCACAAAAAAATGTAGAAATACTTATTAACTAAAAAAAAGAAAAATTCAACTGGGTTTCGAACCCAGAACCTTCTTCGTGATAGACAGTTGTGATAACCACTACAATACAGAACATATTTAAACGTACAATATATTAGAAATCTTTCCTTCTACTTTCAGATTGATACAAACAAGACCAGGGCCGCCGCGAGGATTGTGGCCGCCTGCGTGCGAAATTTAAAAATGCCGCCCCCCCCCCCCTTTTTTTTTTCCACAAAAAAAAATGTATTACGACTGAGCTGGACACTGTACCAAAAGCCGCAATGTAATTTAAATCCATGTTCGTAGATTCTTACTTTTTTTCCTTCTTTCATTTTCGCACCGTTGTCACGTGACCTCTCGATGTTTTAGTTCCAATTTTAACTTTGCATTGGTTTCTATTACGACGTTATAAAGTCCTTCTCCAGTTGTACCAGTCATTGGGCAAAACCCCAGAAAATATTCATGTATGTTCAACATGAGATATATAAGAAAAAGAGGCAATAATAGTAGGCCTAGTGATTTGTTCGGAATGAGATATATCTGGTGTACAATCTAATGTTTTGTGAAAGAATTTATGTTTTTATACAATTTAAGGATTTTATTTTTTATTTCATTCAAATTTCGAAATTGCCTTTATTAATTGATACAAATACCCTTTTTGTGTGTGTATGTCAAATAAACTATTTGTGAATCCTTTAAAAGCGAGATATTGCCGATAATAATTCATTCTATAAAGGATAGCCAAGGCTGCTTTTCAAAATCATGCATTCTTTAATGCGTTGCATCTATTGTTTTTTTTTAAGAGCATTTTAAAACATTCTTTCTGCATTATATTCGTGTCTTTCAGAATGAATATGACCCTAAACATTGACTCATTTTGTACCTGTAATGTCTTTATTTATTTAGTCCTAAAACAACCGACATGGAACATTAAATGTAACACAAAAAAGACTCGAAATACACAGAGCCATTGACGGTCAA